AATCTAACATTTTATGAAATAAGTAAAAAAAAAAAAAAAAAAATCTGCCAGATAAAAAGAAATACAAATGTTAAAAATATTTTAGTTTTTGGGTCCAGTGAAAATGTTAGAGCAGGTAAAAATGTCAAACACAAAACTAACCACTGAGCCCTGAAAAAGCTTTTACATTTTTAGACCAATTTTCTTTAAATGTCTCAATGGTTTGGCAGTACAATCAAATACGTAAAGAGGGAGTTAAAGATCATGCCTGATATTATGCTTAATTTGTCACAACAGAAAAGCAAGTTCAAGTTGAGCATACTGCATTGTGGGATCCCATGCTGTGAGCTAGATTTATACTGCTGCACATTCAGGCAAATATAGTAGGTCATCCAGGTATTCCTGTGCTCAGTATTCATAGTGTAATATAATATTACTGATAGTAAGCAGTATGCCACTCCACGCTTATACATGCACAACTGGACAACCTGTGCGCTGCTCCAGGGCAAAGACAAATTGTCGATGCACAGGGATTGCTTTACATGTGTGTGAGTGTGTGTAATGGGCCTTGGATGTGCTGAGTACTCTAGAGTTTCAGTCTAGCGGGAAGCATTAAGCCGCACAGATACAATAAGGATAGCGGTAGAACCTAGAAGACACACAGCGTAAGGTGTGAGGCCACACGCACACGTCGGTGAGCTTGCAAAGGTAATGTATGGTAATACATGCAGGAGAGGTGCTCTCGCTGGCAAGAGATTTCCTGATCACGCTCACTCTGAATCTCCCTTCCTTCCACTCTGTCTGTCTCTCTCTCTCCCCATGAGAAAAACAGAACCTTTATCTGAGAGTGGAAAGGCTCTGCTCGAGTTCTCTATTCTGTGCAGCCTTCCGTCTCTCCGGGCACAAGGCCAACATGGTGGGGGCTTTAAATCTGGGGCGAGAAGGGGGTGAGGGGGAGGAGGAGGCTTTGGAGTAACAGGCATCTCTTTAAGCCAACAGCAGAGAATTGCAAAAAGCAATCTTCCTCTTTCCACCCCTTGGCTAATTCACTCTCCCTAGGCCTGAAGGTACGCGTTTAAGTTGTAAACTAAAATGATGTATTTTCAAGATTGACAGAGAAGTGATTTAATGTAACTTAAACTAGCATCCCTTCAAAAGTGTTTATAAGGGAAGCCACAGGGTGTTTGTTTATGTACATACATTACAAGAAAGGGATGAGTGGGCACCCTGCAGACAGACAGCTTTAAAGGGTTAGCTGGCTGTCTTTGATGTTATATGACATATATGAGGCCAACAAGACCCTAGAGGTGAAAATCAAGAGTCAAAAGGGCCTCTGCATACATGCATAAGAGAATAGTCAAGGAACAATTCATGAGCAAAATTATGGTTTGGCACATTGTTTTACATGCTGCACCACCTTTGTCATCACCAAGAAGTCATTAAGTCATAATTTTCTTTCATAATTGTAATGCTTCACCCTGATACCACTTGACATCTTCTTGAGATCTTCTTGAGGACCACCTTCGTGCTGGGTTTAGCTCTTACTCCAGTGGTGTCCAATCCCGCTCCTGAAGGGCCACCTTCCAAGAGTTTAGCTCTGTCCCGAATTAAACACACTTGAACCAGGTAATCAAGGTCTTCAGGATCACTGGAAACTTCCAGGCAGGTGTGTTGGGGCTAAACTCTACAGGAAAGTGACCCTCCAGGGGCAGGATTGAACACTCCTGGTCTACTCTAATTATAGACAACTTAGTCTTAAACAGCCAATCAAGGTCTTCAGGATTACTGGAAACATCTAGGCAGGTTGGAGCTAAACTCTGCAGAAAGGTGACCCTCCAGGAGCAGGATTGGACAGAATTGAATCGGGGGCTTGTCCGGGATAAAACAACATTCAAAACAAATTAAGCACTATCAACAACATCTGGGGCATGTTCTTAATTACCACAAGCAACAATTTTCACTTGTCAGTTTGTAAAAACAAACATTTACAATATTTGACTTGCAGTGGAAGTCTAGGAGGAAGGTACTAAAGAACAGAATAAAAGCGTAAACTTGTATTTTCATTAAAACACATTAACTCTTCTGTACAATCAATACAAAAATGTGTACCTCAACAGTAAAGTTGTCAAAATCAGTCCTTTTAACAACCCTTTTAGGTATCTTTATGCTCATCAAGCAAGGCTTTTTACCAGGGGTAGCCAACCCTGCTCCTGGAGGACCACTATCCTGCAGAAATGACCTCCAATCCTAATCAAACGCAACTGAACCAGCTAATTAAGGTCTTCAGGATTACTTGGCAGAAAGTCCTCCAGGAGCATGTAACTTTGGATGTAACTTTACACAGACAATGTTAGTAAGCAATTCTAGTCTCATGTTTAAGGTGATTACGTATTGTGGCTATACTTTCAAAATGTGTATTTCAACATTTATCCTGGTGTAATGCCTTGCCCCATAGAATAGTAAGAACATTACTGTAAATGAGATTTCGTGATCTGTTTCACATTTATACACTCACCACAGGGTCATATTCCCAGAGCTGGTTGCCTTTCAAGTGATGGCACTTGAGCATCATAACTGGACCGTTGAGTTTGGACACATCCAAACAGAGGTCATCAGTCCGGATCTCTTTATTGGCTGTGTACGAGAAAACCTGAACAGGCACAAAAGGTCACAATACATCAGTGTCGTGCATGTCAAGCATCAACACATTACTCCAACCAAGTTTGTGTTTTAAAAGTGAGAAAGATGCGAGGAGCTGACCTGGTTGCCGCCCATGCCGTGGCAGTTGAAAATGCCCACTTTTTCATTTTCTTTCCTGGCCATGTTATCCAGACACTGGTTAGTCTCCACGTTACGGATCTGCAATCGGACAGATCACACAAATAGATTAGACACACTCAAACAGCTCTCCTGCATGAATAAACACAGTCACGTCTCTGTCTGAGTGTCAAACATGGTTAATTACCCAAAGCTTATCGCACACTTGGGGGGGGAGTATCGACGAACTGAGAGACAACTGTGCCAATCAAACACACAAACACATACATACACAAACACGTAAATGCGTACTTGATAAAAGACAGCAGATGAAGGGAAAGACAGCTCACTGCTTTCATCCAAAACACTGAGTTTCACAAACGTCAGATCAGCAGGGCTTAAACCATGACAAACACATTTAACAGCTTCACTGCTATTATATTTAGCCAGTGTTTCATGCAAATGCTGATTTAATACTTGGCTGTTATGTTTTACAAAGCAAACAGTCCAATAGTTTTTTCCATTGTAATAATTGTAATGCACGGCCCCTCATAGGGTTGGGTATTTCCAAAGACTTTCCAATTATTTAGATTCAAAATGACTGCAATTCAGATTCAACAGCTCTCAATTGGTTCAGATTCAGATTTTGATTCAATCTGATTGGATTATGATTCAGTAGGTTATTTTCACTTATAATGTCAATTTGGCTGATAATTCTCTCTCTGCTAATGTTTATTCACACAGTTAACTCTTCTGCAAAAATATTAAATAAAAAAATAAACAAGAGGGCCCAAACTATGAAGTTGAGTGAGTTAGTTCAGTAAATTCAATGACAGGAAGCACCGCTCTAATACATTTCCCGTCGGATACAAAAATAGGCATGGAGTGAAAGATCAATCTTGGGATTTTACCCAGCCTACTCACTGCTTACTGCTTTATCTTATTGTCCTAGCTCTTCAACCTTTTCATGCACTACTGTTCAAAAGTCAGTAAGATTTTTTGTTAAAAGAAATGAATACTTTTATTTAGCAAGGATGCATTACATTGATCAAAAGAGACAGTAGTCTTTTACACTGTTACAAAAAAATCTATTTCAAATTAATCCTGTTCTTTTGAACATTCCATTGATCAAAGAACCCTGAAAAAATCATCACGGTTTCCACAAAAATATTACACAGCCCACCTGTTTTCAACATTGATAAATGTTTCTTGAGCACCAAATCAGCATATTAGAATGATTTCTGAAGGATCATGTGACACTGAAGACTGGAGTAATTTTAAAATACATTAAAATAGAATAAATTTTTAAAATTGTAATAATATTTTAGAACATTCGTGTTTTTACTGTACTGTATTTTTGATTACATAAAACCCAAACTTTTTAGTGTTTACACATGGAATATTGTTGTGACGTCATATCCTCCATGAATTATTCTGTCTGTGTCCTACCTTATACCTTACAATGTCACCATCAGTGGCAAGGAGAGACAAAGATGAGCTAAAGTGAATGAACCATAGACAGCACAAGGAAGATAGATCCTTAACCAGTCAGGAGAACAGACAGACTCCGTTCTGAACGAGTTTCAGACATCAGAGATGACACGCATGTTTTATTCATTAGAATGTCTGAAAAAGAGAGGCAGCGATGGACAGATGGAACGAAAGGGTGAGAGACGGAACAGGAAACAAGACGATGACAGGGAGAGCAGACTAGGAGAGAATAAATGTCCCTCATTTCCTGAACACAGTGACTGGAACGAAAAAAAATAAATAAAAATAAATTCCTGTGACACAGTCAACCCCGAGAAAAAGAGTGTCCCTCGCTAATTCACACCTGCGCTTCTTTAACACACACACACACACACACAAATGTGTTTATCACACTATGCAGTGATTTCCCTTTTTTGCTATCAGCATGTGTGTGTGTGAGAGAGATAGAGAGAGATACAGACCTCTCCCAGCGAGTAGTAGTAACGTGGTATCTGGGAGTCTGGGTAGACATTTTCTAGGTACCAGGAGAACGGCTTACACTGCAGTCTCTGTCTCAGGGATGTTCTGGATGAGATCTCTCCATAATCCACTTTCGTCACACCTGAAACAAACAAACACACACGAGGATGCAAAATGGTTAATAAACTTTAACATTTTGTTTTTCTAGGGTGCTGTGAGTGGTTAAGATGCTAAGGTGTTCTGTGCTATGCAGTGCTCCAGGTTGCTAAGGCTTCGCTAAGTGGGTTGTACGGTGTTTGGAGTGGTTGATAAGTGGCACTATTAATCTTGTCAACAAAATTACTGCCAATTATGTATTTTAATGAAGTTTTTTTTTTATTTTGTCAATGATAATAAAGACAAAGTGGAAAAAGTATTGTTATTAACTAAAACAAACTATTAAAATCACTTTTGTTAAATGAAATAAAGCTGAAATAAACTAAGTTGTAAATATTACATGAGAACTTGGAGCAAAGAACTTAAATGAAAATTTGAAATGTTGCCATGGCAGCTAACTATTAAATAAGTTTAATTTGAAATACTAGCATTACTAAAATAAAGCTAAATAGAAATATTAAAAAAACTAAAACTAAAAATGACTAAAGTACATTTCAGAATTACTAAACCTTTAACATTAAAATGAAAACTGAAAGTATATCAAAGCAAAAACATAATTCTAAATATTATAAATCAGATGTATAAATACTATTACAGTATATAAATCACAATAAAACAGGGTGAAAGACGTGCATCATATTTATCGAATCTTTGAAGATTTGGTTTCATGTTGAACTTCATCGGTGTTATTTTTCATCCACTAAAATACATAGTAAAATTGTGAGATTGAAATGTTCACTATTTTGTAAAGATTATTTTCTTCAAAAGAGAAAACAACTGTGTACTGTGCTGGATATGGTTTAGAGCTGCACTTCAGTGTAACTGTTTTATTGTTCCCCAGACAAAACATTGTAAGTCTGATCGCTTAGAAATGTAATAAAACACTTCTCCTCCACAAGCGTCATGACTTGAGGTATCATTCATGTTTGTAGCACAAATGCTAAAGGACAAGTTACAGGATGAAGTTTGATACTGAAGGTCAGGGTTTTGTTCAAACGCTTGCTTTCCAGCCCTAACAATAAGGAGAGAGTACACAAAGGCATTTGTGTAGAGGAGGGAAAGAATAACACAATACGCACACAGTCACACAGATAGCTCTGAGCTGCACTGAACACTACTGACAGTGACATTAATATCTATTATCCAACATCTCCTTCTGAGTCAATACGGCTCGAGTTCCCACAAGCGCTGATAATACGCACACACACCACATTAAAGAGCCAGACACAGAGACAGAAAGACACCAAGACAGAGAAAGGCAAAGAGACATGACTGGGAGAAGATAAGGAAATGAAACGTAATTTCAAAAACTGTCATTATTGTGTCCTACTATATTCTTGAGCTATGCGTGATTTCACAAACATTCATTGCATGTGTTGTTTGGGCAAAATGAGTCAAAATGCAATTCATAACCTAAAACAAGTATGTGTTATGCATGAAGTATGATTACACTGTACATTATATATTGTATTATCGATTGCATATTATATATTGTCAATGATATATTATGTATTATATTACATTATAATTATAATTATAATTATAATTATAATTATAATTATAATTATAATTATAATTATAATTATAATTATAATTATAATTATAATTATAATTATAATTATAATTATAATTATAATTATAATTATAATTATAATTATAATTATAATTATAATTATAATTATAATTATAATTATAATTATAATTATAATTATAATTATAATTATAATTATAATTATAATTATAATTATAATTATAATTATAATTATAATTATAATTATAATTATAATTATAATTATAATTATAATTATAATTATAATTATAATTATAATTATAATTATAATTATAATTATAATTATAATTATAATTATAATTATAATTATAATTATAATTATAATTATAATTATAATTATAATTATAATTATAATTATAATTATAATTATAATTATAATTATAATTATAATTATAATTATAATTATAATTATAATTATAATTATAATTATAATTATAATTATAATTATATATAATGTATACTGTTTATCATATAATAAATACTGTAAATGATATATTTATATATGTATATGTTGTATGTCTATATTGTTTGTGTATATATTGTATTTACAGTAACCATGTCACTACTTGAGTTATGTACTCCTCTATGTAAACGGAAATTGTGTGTACTGTTTGTGTTTCTGTATTTGCAAACTTCACTGTGTATGAAGTTTCACTGTGTATCTGTTTATGGTGCAGATGTGTAGTATGTAAATGTGACTGACCAGGTGAAATGATGTAGAAGAAGTTCTTGAACTCATCCATCCAGACCTCTGCCAGCCGTCGGTTGTTTTTGTTGATGATCTGCCCAGTTCCACCGGGGAACGTGTACGGCGTCGCCTTACGGAACACGTGACCGACGTGAGAACATGTGACAATCTCAAGCGTCCCCCCGCATTGCCAAATCTGATAAACAAGGATAAATATTAGTTCTCAGAGCATGAACCAATCGTCAGTAACTTTATATGCACTATATATGCTCAAGTGGAATTGTGGAAAGGAATGCAGTTGTTGTTGAATATTATAATACCAGTGTTGAGACTGACCCTGAAGGAGATCTCTAGGTTCTCTCCCCCCCAGATGTCCATGCCTGCATCATATGTGCCAATCTCCTGGAAGTAATCTCTGTCTATGGAGAAGAGACCACCTGCCATAGTGGGGGTCCTGATACATGATGCAAAAACAAAAAAACACACAGAGTTTAACTGTAAAACAGGCCCTTCAGGGGAACGATCATATCTTATAAAAGCAGCTCTTCCGCTCCTGTTCACTCTGTTACAAACAAGCAAGTTGCGTGTCACTCAGGGGAATGAGATCTTAAATAGAAATGACATGTTTACATGCGCCAATTTTGGCAACAACATATCCTTCTTTAAATATCTTTCACTCGTGTTCGTACATTTCCCTCAGCAGGCACTCTGTTCTTTCCTGTTTTCCTTCCATCCATCCCCTGCAGCACGTCTCATTCACAGTCATGTTTTTCTCAAGTAAGAACCTGTTGTTGTTATGCAGAGTACCAGGCTCTGAAGTAAAAAGGAGATGAAGTAAACGAGGGGTAGTGAGGGGAAAAAATACAAAAATAAAGAGTGGAGTGGCAGAGCGTTCTGATAAAAACAATGTGCTGCTCTGAAAAACACAGGATCTGTGAAGAAACCAAGCACTAGAAGGCTAAGAGCTACTTTGTTCCCGTAGTTATGAGGTGGGCAGGTAAACACACTCTCCTCTCGGCAAAGTGCTGGTGTGGATTAAAACTCCCCTCTTCTTTGTGTTAACTGCAGTGTTTAGCTGCAGGGCTGGAGAAACACTTTCATATTGTGTAGCTTTAAGTTGCATGTAAAATACCGTTTAGAAAGGGAAAAAAAATACATTTACATTTAAAAGGCCTTTACAAATTGGAGTCATTGCTTAGTGGTTAACACACATACTCTGATTCATTGTGTGGTGGTGCTCATGCAGGCAATTTGAGTTCAAATCTGTCTTGTGACATTTCTACTTCTTCTCACTTACTGTTTACAGTCCTATCTCTTACATTAAAAGGTCTCTAAAAGGCAGAGAACTTAAGTATCTGAAGAGAAGTTGTGTTCGAAATGTACACACAGTGCCTATAGCACTACTTTGTTCAATAATCGTATGTGGAAACTGATCATATGTGATAATAAAGATACATTACAAGAGTAATACTAATTACAGTACAACAATACATTTATAACAGTAGTAGCACACTGCTGTCACATCCTGAAAAAGACATTATATGTAAAAAGGAGATTAAAGAAGTATCTGATGCTCACCAAGCTTGCATTAATTTGATCAAAAATACAGCAAGAACAGTAATATTGTGAAATATTATTAGAGTTTAAAATATATAGATATTTCTTTATTTAAAATGTAATTTATTCCTGTGATCACAAAGCTCAAACAAATGATCCCTTTCAGCAGGTCACTTTGATGTTGTGTCGAAGTTCCGACACTAGGGGTCGCACTTGGGAGCCCAGACACCTCTGACATCATTGAGAAAAGGCCAATGAATTTGGTGAGCAAAATTTGCGTAGCTGGCCACGCCCTGGACAGCCGGGTATAAATAGGCCAGCGTGGCATTTGCTCACTCGTTCTGTTCTTCTGACCTGATGCAGCATCTCTCTGGGAGCAGCACTCGTCGTTGGATCTATGGCACGATGATGTGCACTGAAGGAGACCAAGGAGATGTTGCGGGAGCGGTTCAGCCAGATGAATTCCCGTGGACCTCTCGTTCCTCCAACTACAAGTGTTCTCCAGTAGAGTTTCTGAGAGAGTTTGAGAGCCCGCCACAGCGGGGGATCTCTCATTCGGGGCTTGCGATGAAGATGAGTTGTCTATCACAGCATCGGAGGGTGGGTATGACCGATCGGAAGCCGATGACTCGACTAAACTGGCACTTCCGGGTGCTGTGCATTGGTTTGAGCATGACGCTGAAATGGCAGCAGTGCTTACCCGGGCAGCAGAGAGCATCAGGCTTGAGTGGAATCTTCTACCCTGTCCTGAGCGCTCTCGCTTGAATGATTGGTTCTTGGAGACAGAGCGCAACACTGAGCTGTGCTCCGCCCCAGTTTCTTTCTTCCCGGAGGTGCAAAGGAGCTGATGAAATCATGGAAGGCACCTTTCTGCCATAAAACGATACACTGGTTCCTCCGCTCTGACCACCCTTGACAGCGGTCCAGCGAGGGAATACACAGGGGTCCCCTGGGTGGAGAGTGTGATTGTGGTGCATTTTGCGTGCAAAACGCCGCCACCTGGAGTGGCCGTCCGGGACTCTTGTCCAGAGCATATAAGTTACCTCATCCCTTGTGGTGAGAGCTTGTACTGCTTCTGGACAAGCTGTGTCTGCTCTGTATACCATGGCTGTCCTGCAGGTGTTCAGGCCAGGGAAAGACATTATATGTAAAAAGGAGATTAAAGAAGTATCTGATGCTCACCAAGCTTGCATTAATTTGATCAAAAATACAGCAAGAACAGTAATATTGTGAAATATTATTAGAGTTTAAAATATATAGATATTTCTTTATTTAAAATGTAATTTATTCCTGTGATCACAAAGCTCAAACAAATGATCCCTTTCAGCAGGTCACTTTGATGTTGTGTCGAAGTTCCGACACTAGGGGTCGCACTTGGGAGCCCAGACACCTCTGACATCATTGAGAAAAGGCCAATGAATTTGGTGAGCAAAATTTGCGTAGCTGGCCACGCCCTGGACAGCCGGGTATAAATAGGCCAGCGTGGCATTTGCTCACTCGTTCTGTTCTTCTGACCTGATGCAGCATCTCTCTGGGAGCAGCACTCGTCGTTGGATCTATGGCACGATGATGTGCACTGAAGGAGACCAAGGAGATGTTGCGGGAGCGGTTCAGCCAGATGAATTCCCGTGGACCTCTCGTTCCTCCAACTACAAGTGTTCTCCAGTAGAGTTTCTGAGAGAGTTTGAGAGCCCGCCACAGCGGGGGATCTCTCATTCGGGGCTTGCGATGAAGATGAGTTGTCTATCACAGCATCGGAGGGTGGGTATGACCGATCGGAAGCCGATGACTCGACTAAACTGGCACTTCCGGGTGCTGTGCATTGGTTTGAGCATGACGCTGAAATGGCAGCAGTGCTTACCCGGGCAGCAGAGAGCATCAGGCTTGAGTGGAATCTTCTACCCTGTCCTGAGCGCTCTCGCTTGAATGATTGGTTCTTGGAGACAGAGCGCAACACTGAGCTGTGCTCCGCCCCAGTTTCTTTCTTCCCGGAGGTGCAAAGGAGCTGATGAAATCATGAGCAGTTCCGCTGGATGCATTCCCACGGACCTCGCGTTCCTCCAACCGCACATGTTCTCCAGTAGAGTTTAAGAGCCCCCCTCAGAGTGGGTTCGATCACTCATCCTGGCCCTTCTCATGATGAGGATGAATAGTCTATCGCACCATCGGAGGGCTTATACTGCTTCTGGACAAGCTGCGTCCGCTCTGCATACCATGGCGGCCCTGCAGGTGTTCAGGCCAGGGTCTGCACAAGGCTGGTCCCAACCCAGAGCATGCAGGAACTGCGTTCGGCGACTGACTTTGCCCTCCGGGCTATGAAGGTCACGGCACATGATCTGGGGAGGGCGATGTCTACATTTGTGGTCCAGGAGCACCACCTATGGCTCAACCTGGCAGAGATGCAGGATGCTGAGAAAGTGCACTTTCTCGACGCCCCCATTTCTCAGGTTGGTCTCTTGGTGACACCGTTGAAGAATTTGCGCAGCAATTCTCCACGGTTAAGAAACGGAGGCCTGCCTCGTCAGGGTCTACCACTGCACCCCCGAAGCAGCAGCTTCCGTCTGTTCATCACCAGGGACGGCCCCCTGCGAGGACTGCTGAGGCCCTGCAACAGCCTGGGCCGGCAGTCAAGCCTGAACAGCAGCCAGTCACTCGCAGGAAGGTGGCACTGCCAGCCCGTCCTCAGGATACTAGGAACCCATGAAAGGCCTTGTAGTGAACCTTAGATGTACCCAAGAAGGGTGGGGGTCTCAAACCAACCTTAAACCTAAGAGTGCTGAGCCAGGTGCCAAGATCGGTTTGCGGAAATAGACCTGAAGGACGCGTGCTTTTATGTCTCAATCGTTCCAAGACTCAGACTTCGGTCTTTGAAGGACAGGCTTATTAGTACAAAGTTCTTCACTTCGGGCTGTCCCTGTCTCCTCGCGTCTTCACGAAAGTCGCGGAGGCTGCCCTTGCCCCTCTTATGGAAGTGGGCATTCGCATTCTCATTCTCGACGTCTGGCTTATTCTAGCTCACTCGTGAGAGTTGGTTTGCACATACAGGGACATGATCTTCGACCACCTACCCCGATTGGGGCTTCGGGTCAACTGAGAGAAGAGCAACTCTCCCCTGTGCAGAGTATCTCTTTTTTTGGTGTGGATTGGACTAGGTCACTATGACAGCACGCATCTCAGAGGATCGTGCTCATTCTGTGCTGAACTGCTTGAGAATGCTCAAGTACAAGATAGTGGTCCCTTTCAAATACTTTCAGATGCTCCTGGGGCATATGGCATCCTCAGCCGCGCTTACGCCGTTGGGACTGATGCATATGAGACCACTTCTCATACCCTAGTACTGAGATGGGAATGGCGCTGAGGCTAAACACCTCGCCCGCCAACTCCTACTGTGGAGCCAGCAGAAACCTAGGTCTCTGCGTATCACTCGCATTCTATGTGACCTCAATCGTGCAGCGATCTCCCTCTCACGGCAGGTCACGCTGCGAGTGGAGGCTTCACACCCAGCCGGTCCAGCTGTTTTGGAGTCGATTCGGTCAAGCGCAGATATGCTCCATATGTTGTGGCTCCCTTTGGCAGCCCCATATGTGTTTTGGTCCAATGCTCTGTTCCGAATAGGATTCTGTGTTTCCTCTAGACAGACAGTCGGTCTGTCACTTGTTTCTGTGCTTAGTAGTTCTCCCCTTATGCGGAGTCCACCAGAGAAATCTTTCCTATGTAGTACTCCCTTTTATTGAGTCCATAGGATGCATCTCCACGTTACCTCCCCTTCGGGTAGGATGTGGTCTCCGTAGTGTTCTTTCCCCACTTGAGGAAATAAACGCTTCCCCAACGTTACAACTAGGACTTCTCAACTGTCATTTTTAGTATAGGGACCCCTACTGTCGGAACTTTGACATAATGTCAAAGTGACCAACTGAAAGGAAACATCTCAGTTACATATGGTAACCCTCGTTCCCTGATGAAGGGAACGGAGAAGTTGTGTTACTTATATTACAATTCTGAACTGCTTCTGAGTTCAGGTCATCTTTGCTGAATAAAAAAAATTATAAAAAAATCAAACAGAATTTAAATTTTTAGGAGAACTATCCCTTTAAGACTAGTATGGTAGTTAATTCCATGGACATTTGACTTTAGATTGGACACGGTAAGGTTTATCATAGCTATTTAATCCTGATTCTCTTGTCTGACTGCATGATAAGCATTTCAGTTTGTTACCTGACAGGCAGCGTTCTGTCTCCTTTCCTGCGATCCATCTCTCTCTGTGGTACCGGATACCAGCGGAAGTTCAGCTTCCAGTTGAACCCACCATATGTCATATCAGAGCCTGCCATGTACTCAAACGTGTCATCGCTGATCACATCAATGATGGGACACACTACAGTTTTCCTGTGAAAACACATACACACAAATTATATTAGCAGTGCACTTTCACTGCTTTGACCTCATCCACCTGAATGAATACGTTTTGTCCGCCACAGAACGTCCCTTTTTTATTTTGAATTCAGCTGGCACATGCTCAGACACACCTCTCTTTACTCAAACAGATGCAGACACATCAGAGGGGACGTCTCGCTAAACTTGTGTTATCAATCAGCACCAAGCAGCCCACTGTGATGCTAACCCAGGCGATGAGAATTGATCGCGCACACACACACTCAGGCACTGCAGGCACACTTTCCTTTCCTAAATTCAGCAGACTGAAGCTTCATCTGCTAATGATGCCCCAACAGGCCGCCCGAGGCAAGACAACACAGAGAATCAGCATGTGTATGTGGGCATGTGCATGTTTAGAAGAGGGGAGAAATACTCTCCGCATATATCTTCAAAGAATCGAAATCAGATGAAAGTGAGTTCATCTTTCTATACCTTACAAGTTCTCCATTTCAGACATAAATGCAGCCTGTGGTGAAACCAAACTACAAAAATTTAATAAAGCACTGGAAAAAAAACAAAACTCTAAAAGCTATTGATTGCTCCGCTCTTTGCAAATCAACATGCCAAAAGGGCAGAAAAGAAAGTGTGTGCGAAAATGACTGGTTTGTTTTTATGTTCCACCACAAATTGCAGAAATGAAATGAAAGGCATGTGCTGGGTGTAACATTTTTCGTGTTTGTGACCGAATATATGTGTGAGCTATCAATCCACTAGTAGAATGCTATTTCCCAACCACTAACACGAAGTCAGAAAAAAAAAAAAATCTCGCAACATCACAAATAAATAACTCACACTCTTCACATTTATAAAGTGAGTGACATGTGAGTCAGTGTTTATTGTATCTTCAAACATGCACATTGGGTTTTGAGGAGACGCCAGACTGAAGAACATCACATCTGGTTAGTGTTCCATTGGTGCAGACCAAAACACACACACACAGAGATATGATGTTATTTGTTGTTAATGAGTTTGGAGATTTATCCTCATACTTAAAATGCGAATGCACTGTTTGTGAGCAGTTTTTTATTTATTTATTTATCATTCGATTCATCCATTTTGTATCATATTTTTTGTTATCTTTATATGCAACTACAGTACTGTATATTGTGTACATTATGTAATTGTTTTTAAATAAAGGTACTAATAATTATTATAGACCAGTAATCAGTCTATAGTAGTAGACTAGTAGATTTAAATTAGAGATTAATTAGTAGAACTATTTTCACAATTTTCACTCATTCGATTCATCCATTTTGTATCATATTTTTTGTTATCTTTATATGCAACTACAGTACTGTATATTGTGTACATTATGTAATTGTTTTTAAATAAAGGTACTAATAATTATTATAGACCAGTAATCAGTCTATAGTAGTAGACTAGTAGATTTAAATTAGAGATTAATTAGTAGAACTAAATTATAACTAAAATCAAATTTTCACAATTTTTAATGCACAAAAACAGATCCCGCATACTATTACAACCCACATCCAGTGTATCCAGCAGCACATTCTAGGGGAGAAAAGTTAGCTTAGGATTCCAGGGTTACAATGTTGACATTTTCAAGTAAATATCTTAAAGTGTTGCATATTGAAAGTAGTAGTACTTACTTGTCAAGTTTGATGCGAGCGAGCAGAGGCTCTAGCCAGCCAGTGGTGCATTCACAGTGGGCATCCAGGAAGGTAATCACCTGACCTGTGGATATGGACGCCCCCTTCAACCGAGCGCGAATCAGGCCCGAACGCTGCTCCATCCGTATCACCCTGACAGGAACCTCCAACTTCCGCACATATTGCTCCAACTGCCTCTTCAGGAAGTCTACATGCACAATTATACACTTAACTTCACATAAACATGAATTATATATAGATTATATAGATCAAAATCATAATTTCATTCAATATCCATCAGTGGATGTTTAGCAAAGGGAAAACACTCTAGATGCAAACCACAGACATTGAATACATGTCTTAGCCATGAACTAAGGCACGATCTGCACATTATAAACCTTAGCAGCCTGGCTCATGATTATTAATTAGGTTAGAATATTAATTAGGTGAACATTTATAACTGTTTTGTTGATTACCTCTCTTCAACTGCTTGATAATTTGTTCAATAGTCTGCCAATGCCTCCTGTCAGCTGATGGTTTATATTGCCCTTAAAAAGTGTATTTTTTATGTAGCTGCCTACAACTTTTTTCACACTGTGGCTAAACAAAGTGAAGCTCTTGAAATATAACAATTATTGCTCAAAAACTGTGACGAGGCATGTTCTTTGTCTTGCCAATATACAGGAAACCTTTCTTTAATAATTTCCCCCCACTTCAATCATAAATCAAGTATTGCTCTACATCAGCATCTGCTGTGGGCGGTTTGGTTCATGCTGCCAAAGACAACGCTTTAACATAGCTCTCAGCTCATGCTGAACAACATCCTCAGCTGCAGCAGCCATCTTTAAATGCAGATCTAAAGTTACTGCTGTGGGATTCCAACGCTGTCTGTTTTGGTCAGACAGCATTGGACTGAAAAGGTCAGACTGAAACTGTGAAACAATACAGAAGAAGTCTGTGAAACATCAACATTGAGTACCATTTATGGTTAAGATGGTACATATATTTTGTAAGTCACTGGTTCTTAACCTTTTTGACTCAAAGGCCTCTTTTTGTCCAGCTCAATATTGTTAACAACATGAGGATAAGTAGATGATGGAATTTTCATGTTAGTGTTAGAGATTCCTTTAATGAAAGCAACAAATAAAATCTGTACGCTGGTCCAAATCTGTCCAAAAAAAATCTATATACGTATGGCAAACACACCCACAGATCCAATTACAAGCTGTTAAGAGATCTGACGGGAGGACATGTCTGTGCATTACAGTCTCACAGCGGGTTTATCTGCTCTCTCATGCTTTATTTGAGGTGTGATATGTGGAACAGAACAGAATGCTCAGAACTACAAAGACAGCAGGAGCAGCAGGGGTTTCTCATGCCAGCGACCCCCCCTAAAACACTCCAGAATCAGAAAGACAAAAGAGTTTCACATTCAGCCAGGAAAGAAAACACTTATTTTCTGTTTTCATGTCATTATCTGGTGATTTGTCTCTATAACTTCTTCACACATACAGACAACCGGACAACCCGACAACCTGAACAATTAAGTTCAGTTCTGCAATATTTCCCACTTTAAGGCACAAATATGTCACATTATGTAAATTAAATGCATTGCAAACTCCATTACATGTTGTTTAAAACAAGTCAAATGGATGCTCCACTCAAATGAACACTCATCACTCTCTGCATACACGTGAGTAAATCTATGCATACATAAATCAATATCCTGCCTTACTCCTCTAGTCGCTTAAGTGGAAATAAAGGGGAGGAAGAGAGTGGGCGGAAAGAGAGAGAAGGAGAATGAGAGAGGACATCTTTAGAGAACAAAATTGAGTGGCAGAAAGATGAGAGGAAGAATTTGGGTCTTTATATCTCCACAGGAGAGGCGGATTAGCACAGATGAGGGAGGAGGGGGGCTGGGAGCTATTCTTATGCAGGACGTGTCCTGCGCAGTCAATCTATTACTGAATGAACTGGTGCATGTGTGTGTGTATGTGTGGGTGTGACGGAGTGAGAGAAGAAGACATCGATGTGTCTTTTTTGCATCTGTCAAAATGTTGCAATGGTTAGACAGGAGTGTGTGTTTGTGTTTGTGTGTGTGTACGGGCTTCAATGAAGCTTCAAAGTACTCTTGCATGAACACTCTGTCAATGTCTCTGCAGTCTCTCACCTACAGACTAAATTCTGATGTGGCTACAGTTACTCCAACTGTGCTTTTTCTGTCAGGGCGAACACTTTAATCGACTTGTATAGCTTTTATACTGAGGTAATAATGGTTTCGATACCCTACTTCTGATCTTAAAGGGATAGTTCATCCAGAAATGTGTTATTATTTAATCACTGTCCTAAAGTAGTGTACTAAATTTCCTGTAGACAACAACACACAGATGCAATATGAACTAACTTGCATACAAAAATAGTACAAGAAATAGTACAAGGCAGACACACATCTATAAAATCGCTAATGAGGAAAACATAGATCTTAGCAGTTACATTCACTATTTATACATCCGAAAGCTGAATAAATAAGCTTTCCACTGATGCATGGTTTGTTAGGATAGGGCAATATTTGGCCGAGATACAACTATTTGAAAATCTGGAATCTGAGGGTGCAAAAAAATCTAAATATTGAGAAAATCACCTTTAAAATTCCTTTAAAAGTCCTTAGCAATGCATATTACTAATCAAAACTGAAGTTTTGATATATTTACGGTAGGAAATTTACAAAATATCTTCATGGAACATGATCTTTACTTAATATCCTGATGATTTTTGGCATAAAAGAAAAATCGATAATTTTGACCCATTCAATGTATTTTTGGCTATTGCTACAAATATACCCCAGCGACTTAAGACTGGTTTTGTGGTCCAGGGTCACATTTATTGTCAGTTTCTTTTTTATCTTATCTTATCTCCAAGTTCTTTGTTAGAGTTTAAAAATCAACAGGAAACTACATGTTAACCTGATCCATCACAAAGCTTCACTGTTGCTTCATAGCATTCTTCCACAAAATATATGACAAAATGCTGGACATCAGCATTATCACTCACTGTCTTTGTTTCACTATACTATCATAAATGTTCAGTGTTTTTGGTCGTGTCACTGCCTCAACACTCACATCAACATGGGGGAGAGACGGTGGCTGTGCAGTGATGGAGAAAATGATTCAGGGCTATGGGGGGAAAAAAATGTCAGTAGAATCAAGTGCAGGTCTGTCTACACCTGGATTGAATAATTACTCTAATAAGTACGACACCAGCTAAATCAGATTTCCCAGGATTCACTGCAGAGCAGGAGAAATGCATATGATAATTTGATTTATCGTTTGAAATTAGTCATTTTGACATTTTAATGAGTTTTAGAGTAAGGTGTTAGGCTCAATAGACTAATGTATATATCATTTAGAAGCTAATCAAATTTAAACCACACCAGATGAGATGCACAGTATGTAAGAGAGCTAGAAATATGTAGAAGCTCAAAGCCTTTGGACTTTTTCTTTATCACAGTTAGTTAATAGCTCTCGAGTGGTTCTAATAGGTCTAATAATGATTTGCATATTCAAAGATAGAGATGCACTGGCAATAAAATTCTGGCCAATACCAACAAGGCGATAATTATTTTCATGTTATGGCCAATAACTGATAAATGGCAGATATTAAATTCTATTTTGCATTTTATAAAAAGTAAAAAAATGTCTAAAAAGAATTAGAAATAAAACAGAAAAATCTAAATAAACAGTTTTAAATGCTATATTATAACATACATTGATATTCATCATTTAGAGATTTGTAAAAGATTTTATTAGTTATTCAATTTTTTTTTTTATTTTTTAAGTGAGCGATGATATCAAAGGTAACCTAAATGTAAAAACAGAGAGGAGCATGTACAATTAAATATCTGATATCAGCCTAAATGTATCCAATATTAACTGATATCAATACATTAAAAAAAAACTTATATTGGCTGATAATCGATATGGTACCAATATAAAGTGGATCCCTATGCTAAAAATACTGGTGGTTTTCACAGGACCCCCACTTTTAACATTAGTGTATATGTGAGTGTATGTGTGGGCTAAAGACAATATAATTTCAGGTATGTATTCATTACACCTACTAATCAACTAATCCCATAATCTAGCCAAATTACAGGTTAGTGCAGCAGATAACGATAAAGAGACTAGAGCCGCAAACCCACACAGCAGTAGACACACAATAGAGCTAGTCAGAGACGTCAGGCTTAACATACACACACTCTCTCTCTGTATAAATCTGTCTTAACAAACACGCTCGCTTTCCAGTGCCTAAATCACATTTCATTATTGACGTTAATAAGCAACAAGGTCACCGGCCATCTTTTTCCTCCAGATGTGTTCTGTTCCCTTTCACCGCACACAAACACACAGATACACACACAGTGAAAGCAGAGCTGACATGAGACAGGCATTTTCAAAGAGTGGAAACAAAACCATGTCATTATCTCCGGAGCGCTGCAGTACAATGTCCTCATCTTAACTTCGAGATCTGTGTGAGAGCATTTATTTGTGTATGCGAGAGATTTCTGTGCTATCATTCTCTCCTCTCAGCATTTAACACCACACACATCTGTCGGAATGACAGGTATGTTATTGATCTAACTGTGAACAATTCATCCAAGATTCATAATCAAATTGTCATAACTTGCAACGTGCAAAAAAAAATCTAAATATTGAGAAAATCGCCTTTAAATTTGTCCAAATGAAGTTCTTAGCAATGCATATTACTAATCAAAAATTAAGTTTTAATATATTTACAGTAGGAAATGTACAAAATATCTTCATGGAACATGATCTTTACTTAATATCCTAATTATTTTTGGCATAAAAGAAAAATCAATAATTTTGACCCATACAATGTATTTTTGGCTATTGCTACAAATATACCCCAGCGACTTAAGACTGGTTTTGTAGTCCAGGGTCACATATATCCTATAGACTACTATTATGGTTAATTTTTTATCATTTGGAGCCCCATCCACTATCATTGTATAGAAAAGAGCAGCATGAACGTTCTTCAAAATTTCAAATTTTCTGTTCCAAAGAAGACAGTCAGTCATACAGGTTTTTAACAACATGAGGGTGAATAAATGATGACAGAATGTTTGGGTGAACTGTCACTTTAACAAACAAGAAAATGCTTCAGCAAACACACACACACACACACGCACATTCTTCCTTACATGGTGGGAACTTATCAATGACCTCACAAAAACATTTTTATATTTTCATTAAGACATATTTCCAAAGCTGTTAAACTTATGACCCTTGGCTCTCCACAGTGTAGGTGATTTCAGGTTCTATTATCCTTGTGGAAACATTTGGTCCCCAAACCTAGTGCACACACTCACCTCTCTCACTGGCGTCATCCACCAGCACGATTTCCTCTAGCAGGTGTCTCGGTGACCTGTCGATGACGCTGTGGACCGTTCGGAGCAAAGTGGTCCACGCTTCATTATGGAACACAATCACCACACTGGTGCGTGGGAGATCGTCCAGATACACCTTTGTTTTACACCTGCAAAACACAAAACTAGGCAATGAGAATGGACAAAACTTGCAGACAATCAAGATAAAGAGCTACAGTACATTCTTCTAAACTCTCTTCCCTCCGGAGCACACAAATGAACAGACCGCACAGGGTCTGAAGAGCTGCAGAGAGCTCTGTCTGAGACGAGAGGAGATTAGCACTTATCAGAAACACACAGGCTGTTATGAAGACACGGTGAGTGGAGAGCTGCTGGAGAGACTGTGAATGCGTCTCATCTTGTGTGAGGAGCTCTAAAAACAGATGACACTGGAATAAATGATGACAGAGAGTCTGAATGAATGTTTGTTACTTTGGCAGGTTTGGTCACACCTTACGGTATGGTGTAATATTCAGTGTGAATGAGTTAAGCATTAGTATTCACCAACAGAAACAAGAAAGAGATTTAATATTGCCGTTATTAGCACTTCTATCTAGTCTTTATCTTTAGCTCATTCTTCTTAAAGGAACAGTTCATCTAAAAATATGTCTTAACACAACAGAAGCATAGAAGAATGTTGATGCTTTCATACAATGAAAATAAATGGGCCATGTGATGTCAATGATGACAATGTGATTGGTTCTTCTGTCTTATAAACTATCCTGACACACCAAATTTGAATATGAGCATGTTTAATTTGCACAAATAAAAAGGAAAACATATTCAGTAAATGATTCAGGACTTCAAATTTCAGATGGTTTTTGGGTGAACTATATGGAGCCCCTAAAGGGACACGATGATGGAAAATATTAAGAGATGGGAAGAATGCTTATTGCATATTAGCATGAAAGCATAAACTACTTTTGCGTATGCTCACAAAAGTTTTGCGTTTCCCAAAAAACTTTGCATTTACTTACATAACCTTTGCATTCCCTCACAAAACTTTTGCGTTGCACGAAAAACCTTCCCCCAAAAAACTTTGCATTTGCTTTCAAAAATTTTCTCAGGGGAACAAAAAACATTTGAAATACGATTTTTCCTCCATCTAATTTTTTTTTTCCATCACTATGTCCCTTTAGGGGCACAACCGAACTATTCCTTTAAGTTCTGTTAAATTAAGGTCACTTCATTTAACTATGTTTTGTTAATTTCATTGTTAGATACTTTCTCAGTAGTTATTCCATTGTATTTTATTTGTTGTTGGAAATGCTCTGACAATAAGATCGTTTTTCATTCCAATAAAACACACAATGAATTTAATAGAAGAGGGAGAAAGAGAGATTTCAGTCTTTCTTGGATTCCAGAATACGGACTGAATTGTTGATTATGTAAGCGCAGGTCACTGTGCCAGTCTGTGCTGTGGTAGGAACAGGAAAGCCAGTGTTTGTTGTATCTGGAGAGCTAAAATGGGACACACGCTTCCACTTCCTGCCTAATTTCCTCTTTGCCTAAGTACAGCTGGGGGATTTTGGCCTGCGATCACCCAAAAAGACAAAACATCAAGCACCAAACCACATTCAGAAGCAAAATATAACTACAATGCTCGAAATTAATAATAATAACTTACACAAAAAACAATAACACTAAAACATTAAAAGAGAGACAAAAGCGGCAAGACACCTTTCGACCTATTTGCTATCACACACACACTTAATTAAATAAGGTTTGTAGCCCATCATGTCCCTTCACTGCGGTAACACAGAACCTCCCGGCCCCATCTTTCTTAAACTTGTCATCTGGAAACACACAGACTGCTCTTTTTAAATTCATTAACCTGATGTCAACTCTCAGGACCCCAGACAACGGTTTAATTTGCAGCCGAGGCATCTCATTGGTCAGCCCTGCTACCTGCTTGATTAAAAGGAAGCACAGATTTCGCTCTCATTCCTTGGTGTCCGTTCTCCTAGATTTTCTGTCTCTCTATAAAAATCAATTTTGTAAAGCAGAGATCATGCATCCCTTCCCTCCAATCAGCACAGACACCATCAAAGTGTGAGTGAGCTGAGTGGGTGAGGTAGCATATGTCTGGCCATGGCTTTATATGTGTGTGTGTGTGTGTGTGTGTGCATGTGTCTAAGAGCAAAGGCTAAATCAGCCTAAAATAGCTGCGACAATGTGGAAACGAATGATCAAAAGACCAATCAGCACAGACACCATCAAAGTGTGAGTGAGCTGAGTGGGTGAGGTAGCATATGTCTGGCCATGGCTTTATATGTGTGTGTGTGTGTGTGTGCATGTGTCTAAGAGCAAAGGCTAAATCAGCCTAAAATAGCTGCGACAATGTGGAAACGAATGGCTGATCAAAAGATGGAAGGAATCAAAGATGAAACACACACATGCTCGCACAAACCCTTAGAGACATTAGACAAGCACAAAATCACATTTCTCAGACCCTAGGAATAATTGGATACATTTGGAGCAATCAGAGAGATACAAAAACAGCCGTAGGTCTGTAGAACTCTTCCATCACACACACACAAACATACACACATTATTATACAGGATTTTTTTTTTTTATCAGACTCCTCAGGCCAAATCTGAGAGATGCAGTGGAAGAAAAATGTGAGCTGTAGTTATTCAGTCATTTACAGGACATCCTACTAGACTGAGTTAGTCCAATGATGCAGCTCACTGCGATTTTACACACATTTTTGGCTGTGTGTGTGTGTGTGTGTTTTGGAGGAATATTTGACGACAGTCTTTCTCTTTTACTTTTCCTCTCCCTCTAAAGCAGAGATAACAGTCAGAGGACACACAGGATCGGTTAGTCATCAGTTCTCAAAGTCATCGTAATCTCAAACAAACACATGCTAAATCCAAATCTCTCTGGCCAGCGCCTTCATCATATCAAAGAACAGAATCAAAACAGCAAATGAAAATACAAAAACAATCAGCTGCTGTCACGGCTGGCTACATAATCCAAAACAGACTACAAAGGGCAATTGTGGACTAATGTCCACACTGGACTAATTTTTACGTTTTTATTTGGTCAAAACTTTGTGTACTTGTGTAAGGCAGCTGAAATAAACTTTCAATCGGTTGTGAAGCCACGTTTTTACCCACAGACCTCTCATGTTTCTGTCAGCATTTTTGAAGAAACTGATATTAAATTGATTAAAAGTGACAGCAAAGACTTTCACATTGTTATACATTTATATTTATATAAATGTATTCAAATAAATGTTGTTCTTTACAAATTTTTATTCACGAAAGAATTCTGAAAAAGTTTCAACATTGATAATAATAATAAATGATACTTGAGCATCAAATCAGCATATTACAGTAGCATGATTTCTAAAGGATCATGTGACACAGGAATAAATTACACAGGAATTATACAAATTACACAGGAATAAATTACATTTGAAAATATATTAAAATAGAAAACAGCTATTTAAATTGTAGTAATATTTGACAATACTACAGTTTACTGTATTTTTGATCAAATAAATACAGCCTTGGTGAGCAAAAGTCTTTATTTTTTAAATAAATAAATACAATTATATATATATATATATATATATATATAAAAATGTACCAACCCCAGACTTTTGAATGGTACTAGACAAGAATTATTGATAACTGATATTAATAATAACACTGTCCCTTCTTCGCACATGATTTTGTCTGCATTTTGCATTGTCTCCAAAACTCTAGTATATAAAGTGACAATTATTTATACATTAATCAAGCTCATGTTTCATTGTATTTATTTATTGTTCACTCTGCGCAGTCAATTATTTTCTCATCCAATGTTTTTAGAAGGCATGTCTCTCTTGACTTCTCAGAAACTTTTTTACCATGCCAATAAAAGCTACCTGAATCTGAGGGAAAGTAAAAAAGGCATATAAAAAGAAAGACCGTCAAACTGTAAAGCAAATATTGTGTTACTGTACCACAGTACAGCTCTCAGCATCAAACACACACACACACAAAAAGTTCCCTCCCAGACAGCAGGAATGCAGTGAAGGAGAAAAGGTCAGTATTGTTCCCAGCTGTGAGCTGTTCCCTTTATGTGACACACAACTATAAAAACAGTGTGTGTTGGCGTGGTTGTGTAAATCTATGCTGACTGTGAGTTTACAGTCTTGACCATATGCTTTTAATGGTTCTGCGCAACTTGCTAATTACAGAAATACAAGCCAAAAACATTTTGCTTGCCACACTGGGGAGGCAAACCAAAAACTCGCAAACAGAGACAAAAGAAACAAGAATAAAAAAAAGGCAAAATTAGAAATTAAGCAATGCATAATTTAGCTGACGAATCTCACAGTGATTATGTTAATCACATAGTAAAACAGTACGCCGAACAGCCAATCAGGTAATCAAGCACACTTTTGAACAGTTAATCATGTTATGAAGGTCAATACAACAACAAATCTGGTTAAGGGGATCATATTCTACAGCAGGGATGTTCAATTAATGATCCAAAAGGTCAAGCCTCTGCATTTCCTTCCCAGTGGAGGTCTTCATACAGAGGACACTAGTTTTTTGGAACAGTTATTAATTTCCTTGTGGACAACAGTAGTACTTCGTAAAAGTAAGTGTAAAAGTACTTGTCAAAACAGTCATCAAAGATATTGGGGTCAAAACAGTGGTGTCTGAAAATATTCCCATTAAAAAATTGTAAAATATTTCATCAGTTGAGCTGATGAATTAGATATGATTATTAAGATCAGCTGTTTAATTAGACTAGTAGTCTATTGTTATTGAACCCCCTTGCAGCATTCTCATTTTCTACAGTGTTCTAACAACAGTAGCAATCTCTCACCACCGTTTCCACGCTACTGTTGTTAAAATAACTCTGTCATCTGACTGAAGCTCTTTTTTAATTAGTAACAGGGTGCTTTACATCTTCAGTGGTGAGAGAAACAATGCACATGCAGCAGAAATGGGGTAAAAGAAGTGCGTCTGAAGCTAGTTAAAAATATAAGAGGAGACAGCAGCCAAAGATCATTACCACCAACAACACTGAGCACTTGTGATGCGTACTGCTCTGTTGTTTTGACATACTGCTTAATGAAACTGTTAAAACCGCAATGGTGCAACT